CCGACCGGAAAGCAGCGGGCGTGGATCGCACGAAAATTACCGGGCGAAGAAGCGCGCAGAATAAATTGTCCCTCGGCATGCATCCCGTGATACCGTAGACTTCGATGCAGTTAATAAATATATGAATTTATGATGTGACAAGGGACTACGTCATACAAACGAAAACAGGTTTTCGTCCTGTCTGAGTGGCTGCTGCTCGTGGCGTAGTAATATTTTCGGTCCGTCTGTATAGACACGATGCCAAGTATACATAATTATGAGAGATCCGAGCATGGTATTGGCTATAAAGACGTATGCATGTTTCTAGAGAAGAAGACTTGTAGGTTGGCACGTCGGAAAATTGTAAAGTCCAACGTCTCCGTGTCGATCCTCATCCAAGGAGTACCGATTCCTCTTCTTTTGCGGCGACGAAAGTACGATAGAAGCCGGTTGGGACGAAGGGTTGGATGGCGGTGGGTAAGAAGGGTTGGTTGTACCTAGAACCCGAAGAACAGTATGGGGTAGTATGGGGTGGCATGGAATGGCATGCTGGTGCGATATAAGGTAGTAGGGGTGCGCTCGCGCATTGCTTTACCCCTTTGCAGTCCCTTCTGGTGGTGGCAGTATTGCTGCTGCTATTGCTGCTACTACTACTGGTCTCTCCCTCCTAGGCCACGTCACAACCCCTTGCACTTTGTCCAAAACTGCTGGCTCCACCACCCCTTCGAAACTTCCCATCCATCCCCGCGACCATACCTCAGCGCACCCTTGCCATCGTACCACTACACCCCCCCGCCCCCGCCCCCGTTACACCATAGCAAAGCCACCCCCTGGCAGCAGCACCATGGCGCTAGATGGCTGCTTGCCTACCTACCTTCAGGTGGGGTACTTTGCCCCTGTGCAACTTCTTCCCCTGTTGCGCCACGAGACGCGTAAGCATCGACTCCGAAGAATTCGTCAGTTGCCGTCGGTAAATTACCGACCCTTTTCATTGAGACGCACAGAAGAACAAGTACAGTACAGCCAAGATACTATGTGCTACGTGTATGCGTATATATATGCTATTATAGTCGTTTATAATTATTACGAGTATACTATTAGAATTCTATATTAACGAAGCCCAAGCCATATCATCCTGTACGACTCAGAGTTTAACCTCACTCAGACGTGTACAGCATCGTCCGGCTTCGACTGGTTACATTCTCCGGCTTTTAATTAGCACCTTTGGCGCAATATTATTGGACCGTGTCATTACAGAGTCCTTTAACTGGACCACACGTTAGTTTTATGTCTCACAATATGGTTATTCCTTCCTTTTTATATTTGTGCAACATGACTGTGCGGGACTGACATACTTCCTGGTTTGGAAGAGCTTTAAAACAACACACACCCTATCCTTTATCTTATGTCGTATCTGGAGTAAAGAGCTACTTGAAACTTTTGGCAGTCTTATACGGGCCGAGCGGCGCGCGCGCGATTGCACGCAGTGATAAAATTCGATCCGGTCATATTGCACATGCATGTATGTACATACGTATACGCCTAACCTCCAAGTGGAATTCTGCGAAACCGAGTATAGCGTATTATCATATGTATAGTACCGACAGACCGCGTTATCATAACCCAGTGACGCCAAATATTGATTCTGACACGTACACGTGACAAGAGACTGAAACGTATACGTATATAGATATGTATGTACATATACGTATATAATATTACTAAGGGAAGAGCGATGCTCCTTGAATTTGTGCACGTTTAATATGTCGATCGTTACTGCCGTCGAAAATTTACATTAACGATATATACCGGGTGTCGATTATCATTAAGTTTCTACAAAGTTTATCTTGGTATCTCTTTGTTGTCGATTCGTATTCTTTTCTTGTTCTATTGAATTTGTCGGGATGTATAAGGATTTTGCTCTTGGGAGAACTCTGGGGGATGGAGTGTGAAGTGTGAACGAATTAGACTGTTTAGAAGTGAGAAAATGAGGTTACCTTTGTGATGGGGTTGAGAGTGTTTCGAGGATGATCTGTTGAGCGATTAGCGTTAACCCAAGGACGGTACTCGATGTGAGGACACCTTCAAGTGGAATCCGTTTCCTGCGAATAAATTACATCGTTTTTCGGGTCGATGTTTTCACAATCGGTTAGTACGGTTGCATGTGCGCCATGTAAAAGGAGGTCATGGTGCAACCAAATAGCAATAATAATACCAGAACTATAAGTTCATGTCCTACCGCCCGAACTGTTCTAAACCTGAAATCTGAAAACTGTGTAATTGTCGTTCAGCGTACTCTCGATGTGATTCCTTTAAGTTCTTATTCGGTAACAGGATGGTTGGTAGATTCTGCAATATCCTACTGTTGCTGTTTTATCGACTGAGTTCAATACTACAGGTTTTTTTTTAATAATCGTCAGCAGGTAATTAGGATACGCATTGGTAAATTGTTAAACCATTGCACATTTTGTATCTCTTTCATTTTGATATTTTGTTAAGTAATCAGCACCGACTCTCGGTATATTTATGATATTGAAATGTCAGTCGGTAACTGTAACCACGGGTTTCGCGACTCTCAGGGTTACATGATGTCAAATCTGGTAAAATGCCTTGTTTGTTTATATTCTGCTAACGGTAATATCTAATCAATTTATCTTTGGTCAGTGACAGTATTTTCTGGGTCCGAAATCCCTACAATAGTCAATATCACTTAATTGCAATGAGAAGGAAGCCAAAACAGCTAATTTTACTTCATCATTCTCATCTCAACAGATGATTGTTCAATTGTTTTATGTAAGAAAACGTGAAAAGTTAAAAATCACCAATTATTATGATCAGAAAGCATTTTTTGGTCTGTTACTTTTAATTGGTTTAAAACAAACAAAAATGCAAATACCATAGAAACTGACAAATTCATCGTGATTGGCATTAATGGTATTGCAAAAATTATAAAACAATGACGTTAAATTAAAAAAGTAATAAAGACGTACTTTATGATGTTATATGGATAGCCGTAACACTATTCGAAGGCTTTCATTACACAATAGACTTCGGAATGTTCCCGCTGCTTTTCTCCAGACACAACGGCTCTATCTGACGGCAAACGTAAGCAACACTATAAACGATTAGACTTGCAGTTCTCGATGGCGCCACGAGTAGACCAACGCTTCGAAAATATCAATAATACTGAGACAAATCAGCAACCATATTTCGTGGCTTCTAGATAACAAAGAAAATACCAGCATGTTATTGTTATAATGCACTAAAAATTCTGAACAATTCAAGTGATGAATTACTAATACTGCTTTATCCAAGTTTTACTCATCGTCAGTGTATAACAACGTTCTACCTTAATACGCCGGATATGACACTAAATTGAGAGAGAAAACAATATTTTTCGAGAAAATGCGTAATATTATTGATTTCTCTTAGAGAAATTAAAATGCGAGTACCTGGTTGTTCTTAAAATTATGCATAGTAGTATCGTAGTGGTTCATATAATATTTAGTATGTCATTAGACTAACCATTGCTTTACTCATGAGGGAGGAATGCATCGGTGTGCGCGAAAAATACAGGCGCCATGTTGAAGCGTTCAAACAGCCGTGGCGGCATTATGTATTCGTCTGTTAGGAGTAAATACGAAAACCTGATGAAAATAAAAGAATGTAAACCTGCCAAGCGATTGAGAAAAATATATAACATATTTTCGCGTCATTTGGAAAATAAATTTATATGAGATTTTGCAGAGAAATCAGCCTCGAAGTGAACCTGCCAAGTGCAGGACAGTCATACACAAAAGTTCTGCCTGCTACGTAACAGGACCATCACCCTGGAAACGTTAGATCATCGAATCGTACGTGGGGCGTCATGAGAAACTTTTAGAGCATAAAAAACTGACACGATTTTGTGTATACAGTATTAATTTTTAACGCAAGCCTTCAAAGATATGCAGCCTCAAACTTATTCTTTATCTAAAGTTCGTACATTATCTCCTAACGTTACTGTACCTATGATACTACGAAGAAACCAACTGGTCGCTTCGGACAGTCGCAGTCAAATAATATGACACCGCGACCCAATAAAATCACATATTGTCATTATAAATTATATTATCGAGCGCAAGGCATTTTAAGAAAATTTTAGAGCACAGAAAGTTTTTATGGTTTAATAAATACAAAAAATTTTATTTACGTGTAATAATCCATAATATGCATATAGGAAATTGCTATTTTCCTAGAGCCTGTGCAAGCTCATTGTAACTGAGTGTACCGCGTACACTATGTAGGAGCCAATCACTACATTGCGGAATTATCACGGCAAAGATAATGTAGCGCAGCATCCTGAAAATCCAAAAAAGCAAAACTAAATGGAAAATTTGTCATCGAAACATAATACGTAACTTTTAGATAACAAAATATAGCTGCGATTTCTAATTAGTCTCATTAATATTGTTCAAGTAATTAGGAAGACATGGATTTTCGAAAATAAGTTTCTTCGAAGGTGGAATAGTCATCACGTGACGCGACTGTACCCCTGACGATACGTAAAGCCGAAGTGGCCGTTGTGTACAGTCGCGTCGAATAAAGCTGACGCGCTATCTGGGAAAAATCTAAAATCGTGATCGGAAATCGCAATATTGTGCACGGGGCGTCATGAGAAACTTGTAGAGAAAAAAAAGTTAGTCCGATTTGGCATATATAGTATCCTCTTTTAAAGTAAGGCAAAGGAGTTATGGATTTTCAAAGGTGAATATTTTGGAGTGGACGACGAGTATAATATCACTTGAGTGTACCCCAGACGCCACAGTAGGCACGAGCGTTCGCTAGAGGTACACTGCTATTCAAAAATCCATTCTGCTCCAGTCAAGAATATTCTACACAGATCCTTCGGATCGTAAAATTACGAGCGGGGCGTCATAAGAAAATTGTAGTACGTAAAAAACTGATACGATTCGGTGTATATCATATTCCTTTTTATCCTTTCGTTAATGAGTTATTTGTTCTTGAATAAGCGTCGAGAAAGCACTGGCTACCTTCGTGCCCAACTTGACTGTACTCACTGACGCTACGGGAGTCCGCGGCCGGCATCGGCTCAGTTGGCAGCAGAACGCACAGCGACAAGCATCAGTATGTCCAATATATCCAAGGACGAGCTCCGTAAGGAGATCACCGGTAAGTCTTAATATCCTTCGATATACTGTATTCTGCTTAAGGAAATTAGTATATCTGAAATAGTTTAAGGACCCTGCGTGTATTTGGTTTGGGCACGCGAGCATGAATACGTGGAAAATCAGGGTCTTTACTCTTGCGATATCGAGGACTTTAGCGCGCACGTATGTGGCATAGTGGCGTGCCCCACGCCGGCCATTATACGGAGTTCTCGATTTATTTTCTACCAGTGTAGCAGCGAATTGAGATACCGTGGAAAATATCGTTTCCGTGTAACTGGAGGGTGATTTTTTAAAGAAACGTTTGCCCCTAATAACCACATTACCATTTCCCGCTGGTTTTCACGTAAAGTTCACTTTTTTGGGGCGTCCTTGCTGTGTTTCATGTGACGCGTCTAGCGGTGGTGCTGACGGCGCGTCAGACCCTCATACGCCTTGGATATCTCCGGTGTTTCTCCTTTCCTTGTTCTTTTTTCCTTTATTCCAAATGACGTTTCTCTCGTGAAGCTTATGTATCCTAGATCGAGTATCTTGTTCTCTGTTTGCCCGTAAACGGCCATTACGGGATTCGAGTGTGTTACGCCTGTGGCTTCCCGCGAAAATTTGCTCCTACGCTTCTGATCATCCATGACCGTTGGTAACCGTCCTGACGCAAGATATTTACTATTTTTCAAACTTTTCCTCCTGTGTTAGATTAATAATACTTTTACAGATCTCTATCGTATATGTATATTTTGGTTATCGATCGAAGGAACTACGCGAATTTTCTACAAGTATGTATATTTACTAAGAAAAGGCATTGCGCACTTCGCGTATCAGCAACCTCTCACCAAGCACCAATATGCAACTAATTATGTTCTATGTTGTTCTTGCTTTTGAAAAATCATTCAACCATTTTTAAATTTATTAAGTGACCTTTCCTTAGCGTAAGAACGCATACTTCTTAGATTGTTATGGCTTACTATCAGACATTTCTTCATGGAAAACCTCCGGTCGATCGTTCATCAGTCCTACAGAGTGCAGCCATCTGCGCTCGATATTTACTATATTCCGTCCGCGGGAAACTAGATTTTCAATGGCCTCACATAATTGCGTTCATCGTTCTAACCCATTATAGAGTGTTGATCGTTTTATATAATTTAAATTGCCTATAATTTATAAAATAAATTCTATAAAAAATATTTAGAAATATAATGACCACTTGAGCAGAATATTCTTATGACGTATCAATTGTTTTTTTTACTAAGTAGATGTAGCGAGAAAGAATTAATATCTAATTTGCCATTTTGTTAAAGATGGTTTCATTGAATATTACTTATTGTTGAATGATGTTATGATATATTTATGATTTAGGGATATGTTTATATCAATATTTAGTAGAATAAATTTTAATAGATATTTTGTACAATCTTTTATTTAATAAGTAGCATACTCATTTTATTATTCTTCATTTCAGCTATCCTCAAGGATGCTGATCTCACAACCATGTCTGCGAAGAAAGTCAGACAGCAGATCGAAGACAAGATGGGCATCGATCTTACAGAAAGGTATACCATTTAGTCATGTGGCGAATATAATAGGTGCAAAGCATTTGTTTCAATCATCATATTTGGCTCATTAAAAAGTCTTATAACATCATAAACCAAATTATTCTTGATTTATTATGTGCGCTTCATAAATTGATAATCTATCATTCAGACAGTATATAAATAACATGTCACGTAAATCATTGGTATCCAAACTGACTATTACTGCATCCCACTTATTATCATTGAAATTATTTTATTTTGCACTGTAAAAATATATCCTACTGTAATGATCAATTACATACATATATTTCAACATTTAATCTAAACTGCTTAACTACCATGTCACCAATTCCTCTAATAAAATGTTTTATCTGTGTTGAGATACCCTTTTACATTGATACATTACGTATCAATGCAGAAGAAAAAAATTAAAATCATATGATAACTTTCATTACCACAGTAATATTAAAAATTGCATAAAAATATAAATATGTGGAGGATATCTTGACAGCATGAGAGATTTGACATTTACACATTATAATATATTCTCTATCGTGTTGAGTGTTACTCTTAAGAGAACGAACCTATGACTATGTTTAAGTTTTATTGAATCTATATCTTCTATATAATCACCCATAATGTACCCTTGGCATGTGAATGGATGCAGTAGAAATACTTGTTTTGACAAGCTTGTGCAATCGAACGGTGCAGGAGCTCAGAAGAACTGCATCCAAGATCAAAATGAGGGACTCTGCGTGGGGCTAAATACACCTAAGCCGCCACCTCGTTCCCCCTCTTACACACATAAACAAGATAATCTATTTAGGTATAAGGAGGAGCGAGAGTTTACAAATGTAGACTATTACGTTAAGTAGTCCACCGACATTGTCCTTACATAGCTGCGTAACGTAGACCACTGTGATACAATCAGATATAAGCCGTATAATATATGAAATTTATACCAAAGAGAAAAAAGATTTCCAAATAGCAAGAACTCGCATGAAATAGTGTGTCGAATGTGTTATAGGAAGAAGGAGGTGGACGATTTGGTAATGGAATGTCTGCAAGAGAAGCCCGAGGGGAATAAGAAGAAGAAGAAGGCAGCTAGTGAGGAGTCCGAAGATAACGAGGAGGAGGAGGAGGAGGCATCCGAGGAAGAAGAGGAAGAAGAAGAAAAGAAGCCCGCCAAACGAGGACCAATCAAAAAGAACAAGAGCAAACGTAGTAAGAAGGGATCGTCCGATGATGAGGAAAGTGCTAGCGATGACGATGCCAGCGATGAGGAGTACAGTCCCAAGAAGGCTAAGTCCACGCCTAAGAAGAGTACGAAGCTTTTAAATACTATTATTCTTTTTTCGTATGCTTTTGAATTTGGGTTCGTTTAAAAACTTTGAATGCACGAAATGATTGTACAATTTTTTTCTTAGCCAAGCCCGGTAAAAAGGGTAAGAAGAAGGGAAGTGACAGCGATAGCGACGAGGATTGGACCAAAAACAAGAAGAGTACCGGATCACCAAAGAAAGGTGCTCCTAAAGGAAAAGGTGGCGGATATACACGCGCAATCACGCTATCTCCAGACCTAGCAGCTGTCGTAGGAGCTGAGCAAATGGCTCGACACGAAGTCGTAAAGAAGATCTGGAGTATCATCAAGGAGAGAGATCTTTATGTAAGTATTCCTCAGAGAAACTCGACAGTATCTACTATTTTATAGAAATTGTATAGAAATATGTCTCATTACTAATACCGTACAAACCCTTTATCCAAAGATCCCATATCGATCAGCAATTATATTCCCTTATAATTAACCCAGCTTGCATTCTCATGCTCATCGAATTCTCGAACAATATTTCTTAATCGTAAAACTTAATCCTATCCAAGGTTTCCAATTAACTTATCGCTATCTTCCTTTTCTTATATTGCAGGATCCGAAAAACAAGCAGTTCGCAATCTGCGATGACGAACTGATGAAGGTAATTGGCGTGAAACGCTTCAGGACCTTCGGGATGATGAAGTACCTCAAACACCACTTTGTAGACTAAGTCGTCGCGAATCATCAGATCAGGTTACATACACTATATAACATATTCCACAAAGTAACACGCATCTCTCTTAATCTTCTCACATGATACATGCATATACATACACATTTACACACGATGGACACATCTTTTTTCACGAGTTAAGACTTCTGGGACTCCCTACCTCCCCCCCCCCCCCCCCCCC